TTCCCTAAGCCACAGTTTAGCAAAACAATGAGAGCAAACAACCTCAGGAGGAGACCAAGGAATTCTTGCATCCAGTTAAAATCGTATCAGCAGAAGCTCAGCCAGAGGTTGCCTAAGGTAAATCAAGAGCTGGTTTTCTTTCGCTCAGGCATCCGCTAGCATCTAAAAAGTTCCAGGTTTTGCATTTATTGTGTAAAGCAATCATTGAAAGAATTAGCTCTATAATTAACCCCATCATCAAATAAAGCCTGGGTCAAAACTTATATACAGATTCCTGACCACCTCCAAATGTTCAGGGCTATTGTCTGTAGTTCGTCAGTTGCCTAGGGTGGTTTGTTTGACTGAGCAATCAGACAAGGAAGGAAATCAAGAATTCCTATGTGAAATCCTATTATCAAGCAGAAGCAATTTATTCTCAGATTTTTAGACTATATTTTAGTAATGTTGCCCAACATTTTATTTACTTATTTGTTTGTTTGTTTGTTTGTTTGGGGGTGAATCATCTTGCCTGTGTGTCAGCTCACTTGGTGGGTGATAGGACACCATTAAAAAGCTTTCTGCAGTGTTTTCTTCTCCAGGTTCTCTGATGGCTGCAGTTTGCAGGCGGTGAGTGAGAGCAAGGGGAGACCAGGAGGCAGTCTTGTTCGGCACCGGCTAACGTGATAGGCTGGGTCTGAGATGTAGAGGGGCGTGATGGGCTGAACTCAGAGCTGGGAGGTGTGGCAATGTCCCTCGGCTTCAGCTCCTCTGCAGCGTGCACATTTACTCACTCTGAAATAGCAAGTACAGATTTAGCCCTCTGTAAAAGAACAGAACACTGGACCCTCCGTATTAACCCCCGGTGTGCCAGGAGAGGAGACAGACTGCTGGTTTCCGCTGGTTCTTTACTCACTAGGTGTTCCTGTGCTGTTGAGTATGCAGATGTCTGGATCAACAGGACTGAGGACACTGATTACATTATCTTTCTCATTCACCTACCCAAGCACGCACACCTCAAGGCTTTGCCTGGGAAACTTCTACTCCAGGTGTCTTCAGGGCTTGATCCCTCATTTCCTTCAGGTCTTCCTTCACAGGCCATCTTATGAGAAGGTTGACTGCTCTGTGTGAAATACAACCTCTGGGGGCCTTCACCCCTCTCAGTGCGTGGCTTTCAGCACAGCATCTGTCCTCGCCTAATTTATTATGTTTATTTCTCAATTGGCTGACCTCGACCTCCTAATATTTAAACACCCCAAGGTTCAGCAATAAATCTTAATGTCTGAATCACAATGTCTAATATCCAAGACCTGCTTGAGGTGAAAAAAAAGGAGTAGGTGTTTGTGCTGTGTAGAGGAGATATGAATTATTGGCATTTTTTTTACCTTAAAAGATATTTAATATAGCCCAATGGAAATGAGTATTTAAAAAATAAAGAAAAAATTAACTAAATATAGTCAACTCCTTAAGCTAAACCACACAAAATAACTAAAGTTGTAGTAGGCAGATAGAGGTGGATATGGAAAAATATGTATATTAATAATCATGAGTGGTGCCAGGTAGTGGTAGCTCATGCCCTGTCTTGAAATTCCAAAGTAATAACATTCACAACAATAATAATAATGAGTTGTACTGTATTTTTAAAACTTTTTAAAAAATTATTGTAACATTTAGGCATCTGCCAGGTACTGTCTTAAATTAATGTCTATTTTTGGCTTGTCCTCCAGTGTAGTGAGCCCCTTCTGAATGTGGCCTGGCCCATACATCTGCTTTCCTCTATAATGCTCACAGTACAAGCAGTCCACAACTAGAAAGCATGTTTTTATACTTATGAAAATATCTATATGGAATCGATTATTACATTTGCACATGTGTGTGTGTCCTCGATGTGTTTTGTTTTGTTTTTTTGAGACAGGGATTCTCAGTGTGGCCCTGGCTCTCTTGGAACTAACTGTAGACCAGGCTGGCCTGGACAGAACTTCATCCACCTGCCTCTGCCCCCAGCACCGGAATTGAAAGTGTGCACCACCACCTCCGGACCATCTCCTGGAAGAGTTTCTTAGTCAAACAGAGCCTCGCTTACAAACACAGTTGTTGACAAAGATCATCAACTCTCATAAAAGCTTAAGATGGGAAAGTAGAACATTATAAAATGTATATAGAGACAAAATGTCCCTTTTCTGTCTTTAATGAACGATACCATCAACACTGTAGAACATACAAAGCAGAACATTTCAGTCTGAAATGTCCACCATCAAAAGGATGACTATGAAATGGCTCAGGGGTAAAGGTTTTTGCTGACACCCCCAAAATTATATGGTGGAAGAAAAGAATTAAAGCTTGCAAGTTGTCCCCTAACCTCTGTGCGCAAGCTTCAATAACAGCGCACATTCGAACGTGCACACACACACACACACACACACACACACACACACACACGTGCACAGAGTGTGAAAATTATATAAATAATAAAAAGATGATCCGTCTTCATATTCGGAGCAAAACTTTCTAACCAGAAAACTCTTCCTATGCACTCTCCATCTAACAGGGATTTGGTATTTAATCTCTAAGAGTTTGTTCTCGGGAGTGTTTCCAGAAAACACAGTCAGGCCTCCCAGGGCCAATTTACCCGGAAACACTGCAAGCCCAGCACAAGGCCTCTCCCTTGCTCAGGTGACTGGCAGCTTCAGCTAGGTATTCAGGCACTTTCTCTTCGAGTCCCAACCCATCAAAAGCCTCATCAACCCGGATCCATCCCTGCAGGGGCGCCGGTAGAGCATTTAGAGCATTAACTTTAAGAAAGGGAATCTTGAGTGGTATTGGCCTCGAGGGAAAGAGGCAGGCGAATTTCTGAGTTTGAAGCCAGCCTGGACTACAGAGTGAGTTCCAGGACAGCCAGGCCTACATAGAAATCACTGTCTCGAGAAAAGCAAAAGAAAAGGAAAGGAAAAAAGAAAGAGAGAGAGAGAGAGAGAGAGAGAGAGAGAGCTCAGATTCGCAAAGGTGGCCCAGAAGTCAGACGTTTCTCGACCGTTTGGGCAGAGAAAGCTCGGGAGGTTCGAGCGTTTCTTAGTTTTCCCAGGATGCAAAATGAAATCCTGGAAACCACTAGATAATAGCTACTTTCATTAAATACGCGTGTAATTCTAGATCTACATTAGCCATAAAAACTAGGTAGTACATAGTCGTTAAACCAGACTGTTAGTACTCAGTACTTAGACTCAATAGTGAATAAATTATCCCTATTGGTGCTAAGTATAACTTGGAGAAAATAAATACCCATCCACGTTCATTCTTAATTCATTTGATTCATGTAGCGCCGCAAAAACTAAGCATTCAAACTAAAGTTAATTGTGCTATTAAAGTGAATGTGCAGCCTTTTTTTTACACTAAACTCAAAACAAACCAAAATAAAAACGAAAAACAAAATGTTATTGTTGCCTTGGATTGGGCTACATACATTTTCAGACTCGAGTGATGACTAACACTTTCTGGGGCGCTAAAGTGGCGGTAGAAATGTGCGTGGGTTATCTCCTACAGTCAATGGCTTTTCCACTCCTACACCGCCTAAGCCCTGTCGGAGTTCCTAACACTCGTTCTTCGACTCCGGTATCGCCTGAGCAGTTTGATCTTAAAGGGTGAGCACAGTAGTAGGTTTTAAGTATGACAGCAAGCGTCCTGGGGATCGGACGGGAGCAGATCGCGACTTTACATGGAAGTCTGGCCCTGCCCCTGCATCCCAAACCCGGTCAGTCAGGCTTTCCCTCTCCGACCTCCTTCCTTCCAGGTCCCTCAACTCGGTCCTGCGCGCTTCTCCTGTGTGGAGGGAGTCCAGTGTCTAGACTCTCGGGAAGGTCTCCTTGGAACGGCCACAACAGCAGGGTAAAGTTACGGGGACAGCAAAAGGACGGCCTCCGAGCACTTCCAATAGGACGCGGCCAGTTCACGGCCCAGGACGCCCCGGGAGGAGGGGGAGGAAGTGCCGCCACCAAATGGAAGGAGGGCAGCAAGACCCACCTCCCGCTCCCTCCCGCTCCCGCCCTCGGCCCCACCTCCCCCGGCTCGCACAAAGCCGTCCCCCAGGCGGGGACCGTGACGGACCAGGCCCCGCGCCCCGCCGCGGTTCCCCGCCAGGCTAGAGCTCTGGCCCAGGACGCGGGGTGTCCGGAGTCCCCGCGCCCGCGGCCCCTCTTTCCATGCACAGCCTCGGTTAAGGCCGGTCGAGCCCCGAGCCCGGGGTGGCGGCCTCCCAACAGTGGCCGCGTACGAGCCCCAACGTCGGGGCGCTGGGGACCCGCAACAAGTGCGGGCGCCCCTTTGCACCCGGCCTCAAAAAAGTCCCCCCACTTCCGAGAGGTCCTGCCCGGCACCTGCGCGAGGTGGCGGAACAATGCGCGGGCGGGAGTGGCGGGGCGCGGCACGCCCACGGGCCCCGCCATCGCGGCCAGCCCGCTCCTGTTCCAGGCCGGGGCCCGGGCTGGGGCGCACATGCACCCCGGGGCCGCGGTGGCGAAGATGGCCGTGTCTACAGTCGCATAAAAGCCCTTTGTTGAGCGCACACAAAAGCGACCCGGGCCGCTTCTCCAGCAGGCCCCTTTGGCCTAATCGAAGGAAGTCGACTCAACTTCCAGCGGCCCAGGAGTCAGGCTGGGAGCACCTTCAGGCAAGGGGCTTAACCAGAGGCCTGTAACCATCTACAAAACCTCATCCGCGCCCAAAGGGTCGTCCGGTCAGGGCGGTGGGAGCTGAGGTCATTCGTCTGGGTGGAAGCAAAAAGCCCACGTTTTCTACCAAGGCCCCAAAGGGGTATTAAACATTCACGTTCGTGTAGGCTCTCTCCCCTGAAACGGAGTGGAAATATAATCCGAGAGGCTTTGTATCCACCAAAAAGAAAAAAAAAAAGTGAAAAGAAAGAAAAAACAAAAACAAAAACCAACAATAGCAACTTAAAAAACACAACAAACCAGTTGCCATTAGCCCAAAGTGGCAGCAGCAGCAGCCGCCGGCGCGTGCGATCCACTTACTTGTCCGACTCTTGTGACATGTTTGATCCAATGAACTCGTTCCCCTTTTCCTGGAGCCTCAGCCTCTGGTGAAACTGGACTTTCAAGTCTGTGCAGGTGAAGGTGTGTGCGAGCGCCCGAGATGGCAGAACAAGAGCTACAGGTAATTCTGCTTTCGTCCCCCCTCACCACTCTCGCTCGCCTGCTCGCTCGCGCCCTCACCTAGCCGGAAAGGTGGGGTGGGGGGGGCCCTCGCATGGGGCCCGCGTCGGAGGCGGCCCGGCGCGGAGTCCTCCCGGACCGCGGCAGGGGCGGACACAGAGCGGAAAGCGGCGGACTTGGGCGGCCACAGGTAACTTTCTCGCAGGGAGCCGAATTCTTTCACTGAAGGGTACACGCTCGAGGGCCGAGCCGCGCGGTGATTGGCTGCGGAGCCGCCGCAGGTGAGCTGCCATTGGCAGAGGCGCGCTCAGGTAAGGCCCTGCTCCCAGCCAGCTAGCTCTGCGAAGTTTACCTGAGCGGAGCGGTGGCACGCTGGCCGCTCTGCGGGGGCCGCGACCGACTCAGCTACTTGCGACTTCCTTCCCTGACCAGGGGCTGGGGTAGAAGTGATGGGAGAGAAGGAGCGGGAGCACCGCCTGCGGACGCTGGGTATCGTGGGTCAACCCGAAGGACCAGCGAGGGCTGACCTCGGAAATCAACAAGCCATCCGGAACCAAACAGGCAGGTCACACCTGCCACTTGACACCCGCTGGACGAGCACTGTGTGACCGGCAGAGGAGTCAGGGACTAGAGCTACTACGCTGTGCTAGAGTGGGGAAGAACCAGAGGTTGCCCGGTCTGTTGCGTAATTGCATTTTTGGCATTCTTATCCACAACAAACTCTTCTCGCGCCCTGATCTGATGCATAGAAGAAAACAGCTCCTTTTCAGTTTTCAAATAGTAGAGCAACCTTTCCTGAGTTGGACCTACGAAGTGCGGCGAGGCTTTGATGGAGAAAGGAGATTCGGTTGAACAGACGCTTAAAATGGCCCGGGCACATCTCTTCCATCTCTCGGCAGCACGGGATTCCTGCGCTGCGAAACAACTACTCCATCTGTTCCTTAAGCCTGTCACCGGTTGACATTTCTAGGCAAGCATCAACATTTACATTGTAATTCAATAGATGCAGCTACTACAAAGGCGCTTTATCCTTGCAGTGTAATATGGTTGCCAGGGTAACAATGCAGGATGAAACTGACTTTTTATGTGGTTTCTCTTCTGGTTGGGAAAAGCTCGAGTTGGCCCAGGTGTGATTTATAACCGCTGCTACCGGAGTAAACTCTTTGTGGGACGATCTGACAGGGATCTAGCCCGTACATGCGGACTGTGGAGCTACACAACAGCATGGAAAGCTTTGCCGCAGGTTATTTCAAGTTGACGCTGTAGCTGTCAGACTTGATGCTACTTTCATATGGTCACATATTTCCTGGGAATTAAATTACGAGATGAGGTTTGGTTCCCTAGTTCCACTCTTAGCAAATGACTTCCACAATTTTATTCTTTTTTTTAGATATCAATATAAACACCCATATACGTGGATTTTTTTTTAAAAGAAATAATGTATTTTAACACAATTTGAACATGGTACCCGCTCCCCCTTTCTTTTTCTCCACTCTGGAAGCAATCACATTCCACTGTTGGCTGATGGTGCTGTAATTCCCTCCCTATTTGTAATGCACCCTGCTATCTCTTGATGTATCAACTACACAGTAGTAATTTGACCACTTGCTACCCCTCATGAGGTGTTAGCTCCTTTACCCTTTCACCTCCCAGTTCCAGACCTTCAACATGGTTCCTTCTCAGTTTAGAGAGGACGAAGAAAGTGTCCGTGCCAGTTTCTGTGACAGCAGGGCACACTGGCCTTCGTATAAAACTTTTTACCTTGTGTTTAGTTTATGATGAACCTATACTGATATGTTTCTATAACAAATCTATCAAATGACTGTAAAATTTAGTTTCCAAACTGTCAAACAGCCAAGGCTGTCTTCCTTGTGCAAACATGCCTGCAGAGCCCCTGCCCTCCTGATTCAAGAGAGATGAGCTGTTTTGTGGACTCGCTGCTGGGTGTTATCCTGGGACACTGTGTTCTATGCCTTATGCCTTCTTTGAGGGCTAATGTTTCATTTCCATGACATATGGCATTTTCCTTTTTGTCTTCTTTTACTTTCTTTGGAGAAAGCATCTTTCTATGTAGCCCTTGCTGGCCTGGAATTAGATGTGTAGAGCAGGCTGTTTTCAAATCTATGTTTTTCCTCCTCCTCTCAGACTTTTATCACCACACCTTGGCTATTTTAAGAACGCTTCCTTCCTTCCTTTCTTTCTTCCTTCCTTTCTTTCTTTCTTTTCTTTTCTTTTTCTTTTTTTTCTTTTCTTTTCTTGTTGCTTTTTAAATTCACAAAGCGAATTCTGTGGCTTTGCCATGGTCATGATTCCTTTTCTGTCTTCTGAGGGTATCATTTATTACAGGAGTTTGCTGCCTTTCTCTGGCTGCTCCTGCCTCTCTTTCCTTTCACATTTGCTTTGGTGCCCCTGTAGCAGAGCCTCCTTCAGCTGTCTGCAGACCATTCACTCTGCACTCCCAGGTAAGAATGAGGTCATGAGAACTTCTTCAGCACCCTTGTGGAGGTGGGGATGGGCTTGCTCACTGGTGGGCCTGCTTTCTTTCCCTTGGAGCTCCAAGAGCTATCATGAGAAATCTACGATCTCTTGAACTCTGGAGCAAGGGCCTGGGTGAGCCAGCCTGCAGCCTTTCCAGCCCTTTCCTTTCCTGGAGGGCTCTTGGATCGTGGATAAGTGTTTCTCCTGCTTCTCCTCCTGGTTTCCAGGCACAGGACAGGGAATCTAAAAATATTTCCTGTAAGAAACTAAAAAGCCCAAAGAAAAGCTGTGTGTGTAGTGTCTGACTCTGGGCTATGTCCCCTGTTCCACCAGAGCACTGTGCAGCAAGACCACCAGGGAACAGGTCCACCTGGCAAACCTCTGTTGGTCTCTGAAGACATTTCATAGCCTTTCTCTCAGCTATGAATGGAAGACAAGTGGAGAAAGATTCACCAAGGGACGCACCACCTCCCGCTGCCAGTAATCACCTGACCCCTGGTTTTAGCTGCTTGCCCCTCCCTTACTCTTCCAAGATCCCTAGTCTACCTGTCAGTGTCCCCTGATGGTGGCCTCAGGCATCTCCAAGGCCCAGGTCATTCTGTTTTTAAAATAACTAAGCCTTTTCTATACTGACCTCTATGAATGTTCATGTGTAACTCCTGTTGTTCCCTTAAGCCGTTGTCTACACCACTCTTAGATGAGGTTTCTATTTCTGTTATAAACACCATGACTAAGTGTAATCTGGAAGGAAAGAATCTATTTCATCTTATATTTCTACACCACAGTCCATCGCTAAAGGAGATCAGGGCAGGAAGCAAAGCAGGAACCATGGAGAAAAACCACCCATCACACCTCCCAGAAATATGTGGAGATCTCTTTTGCTTTTGACTTTCCTTCATATCTTTGTTTCTGTGAACTTATCCATTTGTGATCTTTGGGGGAGGGTAGTGGGGACAAAGAATCAGTGTGGGTCAGTCTGCCAGCTTTAAACATGTCTATTTCCAACATTATCCAAAGGCTTTTTACCAAACTCCACCAAATTGGTTTGTGCACATAAAATCAGCATTTGATCTGGATTCGGTCAGTCTGAAGCCAGGTGTGATGACACATATCTACAATCCCAACATTCAGAAGGCTGAGGCAAGAGGATTTCTGTGAGCTCCAGGTCACCAGCCAGCACTGTTCTGCAAGACCCCAGTCTCTAATACAAAAAAAAACAAACAAACAAAAGTTCATGGCTAATCATTCCTTTTGCTGTTTTATAATGATCAAGATTTCTTTCTTCTGATATCTAATGACTCAGCATTGATTAGATAATTTAGTGTTCCCCAGACAGACTAATCACTGGGCAGGTCAGTGAGGGAAAGTTTCAAACAGATCATTTTAAATTGCTGGACAGATGGACCAACAGTTAAGAGTACTTGCTGTTCTTGAAGAGGATCCAAGTTCGATTTCTAGCACCCATATGAAAGCTCATAGCAATCTATCCAGTTCCCGGGATCTAAGGCCCTCTAAAGACACAGACGTTTATGCCAGCAAAACACCTGTACATAGAAAATAATAATAATAATAATAATAATAATAATAATAATAATAATAATAATGCCAGTTCGTGGTAGCACATGCCTTTAATCCCAGTACTCGGGAGGCAGAGGCAGGCAGATTTCTGTGAGTTTAAGGCCAGCCTGGTCTGCAGAGTGATTCCAGTACATCCAGAGCTACACACAGAGAAACCCTGTCTCAAATATTAATAATAATAATAATAATAATAATAATGTCAACCATGAAACTAACTCTATTACCCAATTGTTTTGATTCCTTTGACAGATGAGTTAAATAAATCTGAACATTTCTATCTCACAGATTATGAAACAGTTTTCTTATGCATACATCTTTATCCATAAATGAGTACATTACCACGGTAGCTCCTAAATGTGGCTCCTGTTTAGAAGAACGTCATCATCAGATCACGAGGTACCTTTTAGGAAAGTGTACTGACCAGCTCACCTGCAGACCTACCAGATCTGAAACTCAGACAGGTGAGCAGCAATGTATTTCTCAAAAGCCCACCCCATGCTCTGCTCCGTTAGATTTTGAGAAGCACAGAAATGCAGGGTTCAGACAGAATACAGCAACACACACCCAGCCACTGTGTGCCAGTGTTAGGTTACTATGGACTTTACCTGTGTGGATGAATCCATTCCTGTCCCTAGGCTTGTTTATTTGATGGTTGGTCACTGACCTTAAGTAGAGCAGTTAGCATATCAGAAATGGATGGATGGATGGATGGATGGATGGATGGATGGATGGATGGATAAATGGATATATAAATAGAAAGTCTGTAACATACCACAGTACCCATCATAACGTTAGACTTTCAGCACAACATAACATTTGATCATTGGATGGGCAGTGGTGCACGTCTTTAATCCCAGCACTTGGGAGGCAGAGGCAGGCCGATCTCTGAGTTCTAGGCCAGCCTGGTCTACAGAACAAGTTCCAGAACAGCCAGAGCTATACAGAGAAACCTTGTCTTGAAAAACAAACAAAAAACATTTGATGGTCACTTAAGAAAATCCACAATAAAACAAAAGTTCAAATGAAAGTTAGGAAGGGGGATTGTTTTTAGAATGGCCCAAAGCACAATAAAGACCAAGACTGTTTATTCCATAAAATGTCAGAAGTGTGCAGAAAAACAAACC